CTTTGTCTCTCTGATCTTCAGGCAAATTTTATTAGGGTACACAGTATATTACCACAGAAACTCTGGCTTCTCAGGCTTCTACCTGGACTGAGAGTTAAAGTACTGATTTTATGGGTTCTAATGACTTTTAATGTGGATCTACACTGTTGGTTTCCACTGTCTTCTAGATTGTTCATGTCTCATCATGGAATTTCTCGATCTTTGTAATTATATAAGCCAATTTCTTAATAAAATTCCATCATGTATGTATGTATAGGTATGTATGTACCTATCATCTGTCGTCATCACCTGTCATCAGTCTTACTGATTCTGTCTTTTTGGGGAAACCTGACTAGTAATAGTCATTAAAGATGCTGTTGATAGTAACATAAACTTTTGCCTGAAATTAGAGTTTTGCGAACAATAATGCTTTCACTTTTTACATTTTATTTTTGGAAATAAGTAAGTACTTCTTTATTCTATGATTGTAACTATTTGAATATTTGAATAACATAAGAATATAGAAAAAGCTTAATCAAGATAGATCCTGACAAGCCTGTGTTGAAGTACTCAAAGACTGAGGATTTTTTTTTTTTTTTTTTTTTTTACCGTGTACATTCCTGGTAAAAGCGACAATTTGCTTTTATCAAGATTTCTGTGAAAACTGAAGAATGTGTGTGGTTTGTTTTCTCACACTGCTCTTGGTATAATCATGGTAAAGGAGAGTAACACTTTTTATTCATGGAAACAAATTTTAGCACATAAAAAGTAAACAGCCAACCCAATCAAATATATATTTAAAATTTGTCTCTTTTTTTATTATTCTTATGTTTTTTAAAAAATCAATTTAACAACAGAAAAGACTAATTTCTATTCTGAGCAACTACTATGTCAGTCCCTATTCAATGAAGCAGGCATTTTGGAGCACATTTGTAGGTTTTATGTATTTTTTTAAATAAATGAATGCTTTTACCTTTTCATTTTCTTTTGCTTGTTTTTTTTTTTAACTTATCCAGAAATAAACCTTAAATTAATGTTGACTGAAACAGAGAAATTTGTGTGGTAATGTGTACCCAGAAATTAGGGAATATTTTCACATTAAGATAAGTTTTCACTAGTGGGTGGTTTTAAGAAAATACCTTTCTTTTCTTTTTTTAAAAATTAATAAATTAATTAATTTTACAACTTGGCCACAGTTTCCCCTTTGTCCTGTCCTCTCAGTCCCTTCCCTCCCACCTCCTTCTGTTCCCAGCCCCAATCCACTCCTTTTTCTTTTCTGGTCAGGAAAAAAAACTGGTCTCCCATGGATATCAACAAAACATGGCCTAACAAGTTACAGTAGGACTAAGTACCTCCCCCATGTATCAAGGCTGGGCAACGTGACCCAGTGTGAGGAGTAGGGCCCCAGAAGCCAGTAGAAGAGTCAGAGACAGCCCCTGCTCCCACTGATAGGAGTCCCACAAGAGGACCAAGCGACACAACTGTACCACATATATAGAGTGCCTAGGTCAGTCCCATGCAAGCTTCCTTGCTGTGGGATGGTCTGCATGTCAAATTGCTCTGATTGGTCAATAAATAAAACACTGATTGGCCAGTGGCCAGGCAGGAAGTAGGCGGGACAAGGAGAGAGGAGAATTCTGGGAAGCAGAAGGCTGAGCAGGGAGACACTGCCAGCTGCCACCATGACAAGCTGCATGTGAAGATGCGGGTAAGACACGAGCCACATGGCAAGGTATAGATTGATGGAAATGGATTAATTTAAGCTGTAAGAACAGTTAGCAAGAAGCCTGCCACGGCCATACAGTTTGTAAGCAATATAAGTGTCTGTGTTTACTTGGTTGGGTCTGAGCGGCTGTGGGACTGACGGGTGACAAAGATTTGTCCTGACTGTGGGCAATGCAGGAAAACTCTAGCTACACTTCCTGGTTGTCAGTTTAGTCTCTGTGAACCCTTATGAGCCCAGGTTAGTTGATTCTGTGAGTTTTATTGTGGTGTCCTTGACCCCTCTGGCTTCTATAATCTTTTTTTTCTTCTTCTTCTGCAGGATCCCCTGAGCTTTGCCTAATGTTTGGCTGTAGAACTGCATCTGTTTCCAACAGTTGCTGGATGAGGCCTCTCTGATGACAATTGGGCTTGGCACCAATCTGGTCACAGAAGATGGCCAGTTCAGGTATCTGCTATTACTAAGAAAATAACCTTTCCATAGACCATATTTTTTTTCTCATCCATTTTATCTGAGGGATTCACTTCACAAGTTCTTTTCTGAGCTGAGAATGCAGCTCAGTGGCAGACACTTGCCCACTGTGTGTGAGGCCCTGGATTTGGTCTCCCGCAGCAAAGATCCTACCTTTAGGTTCTTTTTACCACCTCTTGATGTATATTGCTCTTTTATGTCTGCCTTTGGAAAATTAAGGTTCGTATTTTATACTGTCCCATGTGAATTCACCATTTGACGATCTGGTATCTAACTGCTGTTGTAAAGTTCAGATAACAGCACTCTCTTAAAGCTTGCCAAGCAATCCATGAGAAGGAAAAGAGAAAAATGTACAACAACCGATATTTTCTGAAACCAAACCAAACATTTCTTGGACATATTTGTAGATAAGTTGTGCTTCTCTGCTTTCGTTTGAACTGAATGGTCATCCATGTGTGAGGAAATAAATTTGAAAGCTAACTGAAAGCTTTGGCTAGTCTTTCCGAGTATCTCATGTATCATCTGGACTTTTAAATTTACTCTAGCACACATGGATGGCTGGGCTCTCCAAATGAAGTTGGCAAGAGGTGATTCTTCTCTGTTTGTGTTAATCTCAACTTACTGAGATGGCAGCTGTCTGTGCAGAGCTTATGGCACTTACCAACTTTTGATTTCACTTTTTCCTTTACTCTCAAGCTCTTGCTTGATTCTTTCTTCTTAATAGACAAAAGTCCCTACTCTTTGAGAAATGTAATGTATCAATGAATTACCCAAATCAGATCACAGCAAGGGGAATGCTTGGCATGCAAACAAAAACATCATTCTTGAAATAGTCTATTTGAAGGATTACCCTTCCCTTTGGCCATTACCAAAAAGAAACACACACACACACACACACACACACACACACACACACACACACA